CTTGATTTAGATTCGAGGCAGTTTGTTATTTGCCAATAATTAATCGTTTGCATTGCCGTGGTACCGAGCGGGCTTCCTATCTGCTTTGTCATCGCTTCGGCTAATAACTCTTTGGCTTGATAGGCGGGTACGCCGATCATCGCTCATGCCAACGCTGCCGTGCAAATAACCGATTAAGCCTTGAAAGCTACGTAGGAAGGTTCGACGAGCCAATCGTCGTTCTGGGTTTCGTAGAGAAAGAAAAAAAAATTTTACAAAAAAAAAACGTCACCCTCTTTCTACCTCGACAACCCGCTCGCTCGCCCGGCGAATCTTTCCATGCAAACTAGCAGTCCCGATTTGTTTGCTGAAAGAGCCGGTATGCGTGATTAAACGTTTAATATCGGCTGCGAATCTCAATACCGTCGGCCTATACGTATACGCCTTGTATATATTCATACAAGTAGATATAGGTATGTTTGAATCGCCCTGTAGGGATACTCCATACCAGTTTTACACTGAGGGTTTACGTAGTCCGGACTGTTTATGGCGCCGCACGAATGTCAATAGCAGCTGCTCGTTTCTACGCTCTTCCTGTACACCAGGCACGTGTACTCGCATAGGTATAACCCCCCTCCACTTGATGCTCCTCCTGAACCTCCAGGAGGACAATTTCCGGCCGTCGCAAAATCTGCCCTTTCGTGTCTTGGCTTGATCACGAGCCAGATGATGTTTCCCGGTGCGATATACAGGATACGAAGGGACGACGTAGATGTGACGAACGGGGAAGGACCGAGGAAAACGTTGAAAGGGTGGAAGTGAATGGTGGCTCTTTTCGAAGCAATAGGAGAGTCAGGGACGCTGGTTAATTCCCAGGTCGACTGCTTCTTGAACAGGACTAATTGCAGTAAACGAGCGGCTGGGTGCCAACGTCGGCTCGTGTATCCGTGACCCGTGTGATTTTCCGAGTCTAGAGGTTTATATCCAGTTCTCGACGCTTAAGACTCGCTTCGTGGAACCGGAACGGCGGGTAGAGGCCATACCGACTGGAATCGCTTTACGTTCCGCGTTCCGGACTTTGCTACGTCGGTAAGGTAGGGACCCGAAGTCACGTTCCGCACGATCCACGTCACCCTTTAGCTTGTTCGTTTTTATTCCCTTTTCTCTTGACTCTTATTCTTCTCCTTTCCTCGTCTTCTGCCTCGGCTAGATTAAATCCCTGATCATAAAACCACCCCCGCTGCTCCGCTCCTCGAGTCCTTGCGATCATTAAACTCTGGTAATCTGGCCCGATTGAATCTTACGTCTTTCCGAGTGAAAAGTTGTCGGGACGCTGCGGCAATTTGCGAGCGTTTCGTGAACGGGAGATCGATGCCAAAATGCTTTTCTTGTGTGTGTAAAAAAAAAAGTGGAATAACAAAGAACATATATAAAGATACATAGGACACGCCCGGGTCACTGGCCTGGTAACGATTATGATCCGCTACCTTCTGTAGAATTCACTTTCCCAGTCTTCACGATCATCCCCGTAAGCACGTACCCTTAATGAAATCTTCTCGATTCGTTCACTCGGTAAAATCATTAGAATCCTAATGGAATCTCTAGGCTGGCAGTCGACGTGAAATACTGGAGAATAGAGAGGGCAACGATAGGGCCGCAGTGAACCACCACCCCTCGGTGACATCCACGCGCTACCATAAGGGCACAACGAAGAAAAGAGAAACAGGCTGCTAGGTCGCTCGACTAAGGGATGGTCGGTTCGGCGCGTTCCGCTGAATCGGAACGTAAACCGAGTTGTGTGGAGCGAGGAGGGTGGGAGAGGGGCTATGAAAGGGAAGGGAAAAGGGCAGACGCGTGGGTATGAAAATTTCAATTGGTCGAGGGTAAGCTAAGCGTTTCAAGGCGAGGAGTGATGGTAGCTAGTAGCTAGGTATATAGATCGGGTCTTGGGGGAGAACGTGGCACAGAGAGAGGAAGTCGAAGTGGCTGTGGACCGAGTAGCTGGCTTGCTATACGGGGGTAGGCTATGGACTCTAGGCTCTCTTGCTCCAGCCAACCCCGTCTCGAGTCTCGACACACCGAGCTCTGCTCTCAACGAAGCCCTGGGCCTGGGGCAAACTGCATAATTCATGGCCCAGCTACACCAGAGCCTCTTTTCTGTCCCTCTCTTGCACTCACTTTGCTCATTCTCTCTTGTAGCTCTTTCTCTCTCTCTCTCTCTAGCTAAAACGCTATACCTTGCCTACCACGTACCTTTCCTCGGCATTCTTCGTCCACTAGCTGCTCCATAGCACTGCATCGCGTGCGCTGCACGTCAGCACGGGCGAATAAAGTTGGCTCGTAGAACGTCCACCTTAACGCACGCCGGAGAAAGTGTCGGAACTTGTGGTGCAGTGGAGCAGCCTGGCGCCTAGGAAGGTACATTGCATAGAGAGTGAAGGAATGAGGTTAGGTTGGATTTGCCAGGTCGTACGCTATAGCTTGGGTGAATGGGTAGCTGGGTATATATTTCGCAGGTATAACGGAAAACGCCCTTTGGGTTCAGGTGAGACCTGGCAGCAGGTGCTGTAGGTGCGCACGGTAGCGTCGGGACGCTCGAGGTCGCGTCGAGCCTGAAGTCCGAAGGTGAACGAGTTCTCGAGGAAGAAATCATCCGCGAATACCAGACCGGTAGATAAAGTGACTATACCCAGGCTTCCGTGAGATTAATACGTAAACCCGTGTAGCGCGCGAATACACTGGCCCTGCTTCATATATTCAGCCCCTGGGGGAGGCTCGGCCAAGAGGACGTCGCGACGGAGTCCATTATCCGTGCGGAATAACGACTCGCCGGTAGGATCTCACGTTCCCATCGCTTCAAGATAAACATCGACGTCTCTCCGACCGAGTCCGGTAGTCAAAGAAATACTCGTAATTAGCTGGCAGCCACTACTTTTTCATTTTTTTTCCCTTCACCCTTCTCTCCTTTCGTTATACTCTCGAGGGCGTCCCGACGTGACACTCCCCTTTATGGTACGTCTTCCCCCTTCATTTTTCTCTCTAACCCTTTCTCAAGCTTTCCTCCAGCATTCCCAGGGGAACCTCTATTCCTGGACGATCGAATACCTACGCGAGGGGTCTGCCTCTTGCCTACCTCGTAGAATCTGCTTCCCCACGTGCCTTCGTCTCCTGTACCCTCCCCCCGTAAGCGGCACCCTACCTGAATCCCTTCGTACCTACAAAAGGGACCGTAATTCCGTAGCTCGCGTGTGTCCCGCCGATCTCAAGCGGATGCGGGAATCGAGCAGGTTGGGAAACGAGCGTTCTGGCTATAAAGCATTCCGTGAATATTAAATCTTCCGTCTCTTCAGCCTCTCCTTCTGCCTATCTTCCACTCTTACTCGTATACCGTCGTATATGGTAGGTATATAGGTATCTACCTACGTAAATGCGGCTCATGGCGCTCACTGAATTTCATATACCTTGCTTATATGCCGTTGAGTTACTGCTTCAGCCGACCTGGAGTGTCGTTAACGCCCTAAAACCTCCCTTGTCCCGTAGACATCTTGAGACTCGTCACGAGGACGATGTCTAGGTCGACGTTCGATCCGGCTCTCGTATTCGTCTACGATAATACAATGTTCGAAGAAATGTCTGGACGACCTTCCTGTAGCCTTTGAACCCTGTAAAAAAAGAGGTGCCTGTCTTAAGCGCGATTCCTTGGTGAAAATCCTTCAGGAGGAATCTGTAAGGAGTAGGTGAAACGATGGAAAAGGACTTTCGCGAACGGCTCGTAGGGATTCCACGCGGATTTACGCCGCTTTGAATCGCAGCATCCGTCTAGTAAGACACTTCGGGATCCACACTGTTGCACCGTGCGCATACTTGGGGAATTAAAGAAGAGAACTTCCAACAGATGGCATTTTGCTGGTACGTAACGGGGCTGCGTACTCGAGCCACCGGCGCTCTTCGGCAGCGTCACGACGCCCACGAGCCGAGGAGTTTACCGATTCTCGTGAGAGAAGGGCGTGCGCGTCCCCCTCCCCGGAGGGGGGCACCATCGAGAATCTTTCTCCCATGTCGACAAGATCACGATCTTCTTCTCTCGGGCCGATGGTCTCCACGTGATTCCTGGTACGACACTGTTCATTCATGGGAGATAAATAAAAAAGTGACTCATCTTCCTAGAAATCCAATGGCATTGATTTCGCGAGAGCGCTTAACGGCTCTGCCGTGCCTCGTCCTCTATCTCGTTGTTAGTCTCGTCATTCGCTAGCATCCTCGTAGACGCCGAAGAAGCTCCGACATCGGTCCGAGACGCTGGCGAAATAATGAGAGTCGACGCCATTCCCGGTTCCCAGCGCGTAAAGATAAACATCAGTGGACACAACTCGGTAGTCAAAGAAATTCCCGTTAATTAGCTAAAAAGTCTTGGGGTCTTCTTCTTTCCCTTCCTTTTTCTTTTCTTTTCTTTTCATTTTATTTTTTATTTTATTTTCTCTTTTCTTTTTCATTCATTCCTTCACTCTTTTTTTTCCTCTTCTTCTCCTTTCATCGCTCTCCACACTTCTTCGTCCGAGACTCGCTTGAAGATTTTTTTTTTCTCTCTCTCGGAGACTCCACGATCCTCGACGACGTGCCACGTCCGTGGGGGCACGGAGTGCCGTGCCCCTGGTACCCGGAGGACGGAGGCCCTCTTGTCGAGTTCTCTCGTTCTCTACCGTTCCGATCCTAATCTCGATAATGACGCGTAATGGCTGCTAGCGTGAATGTAGCCCTTTGTCCGTGGGCTCCTGTGGAACTCTCGGTGGCCATGACTATCTACGTGGGTTCGACGCGCGCCATTTGACCTACCGAAAACTTCGGCGCACATGAGAAATAGATCTTCGCGTGTTCCTTTGCCAGCGCCACCCTTCAACGTTTACCTTAATTCCTTTTTTCTCTTCCTCCTCCACCGCCCTGTTGGCTTTTTCGTTCCGTCCGTCATTCCTATCTTTGCTGCTTCGGCGGTTCTAACCAACAGTCATTTGTTTCACTTGCAGAAGCGGTTATGAGAGTTCGATGACTTCGAGCTCCCGGACTACTATGGACTATCTGAGAACGTCGCTTGTCCTGTGCCTGATATTTCTTCGGTTCCACGCTGCGCACGCCATAGACATATGTAAGTATCACTGAGAAACGACAGGTCCGCCAGAAGTCATTAGAGCATCTTGGAATTTAAATTCTTACGGCGGGTGGAGAATGGCATTGGACCAAAGAATCCAACGCGGACCTATCGGCTCCGAACCGTCTCGTGGGTAGAAATCGAACAGAGGAAAGTATTCAGTTGAGGTTAGATTGCTCACCCGATCCCTTTCACACCGAGCCGTAACTCGAGCGTTCCTGGGAATCTGATGAAAACATAGCTCGGTCCTGTTTCACGTCTCTCGCTAAGATTTTGCCTACGTTAAACCCACAGGCACTGCTATTCGGGTCGCTTCCATCCCATTGAATCTGTACCGAGGTAGGAGGTCTAAAGGGTGTACATCCCAGCATCCGCTGGAGCTTCGAGTAAACAGAGAAAGAGACGAGAGGGACGAAGCAGGCGGGAGGAAGTGGAAGCTCGCAAAGTATCCGCGAAAAGTTTGCGCGTCGCCCTTTTTGGCAGGAAACTGTTTGTAAGACGAAAGAGCGTTCTTGGGTTTCGCGAAGGCGCTTTTTACGCTCGGTAATCTACATCCGACGGCCGGGGGTCGGAGGGGCGGGGGGCGACACGGAAGGAAGGCGTCGTAAAGTTCCGGATTAATTTGGAAAATGTTCGTGCCCCGTCGCTTCGCAGGCGTCTCGCCGTGACTTTAGTCGCTCGCCGAAGGAAAGCCCCGACGACTCATTTTATTTATCGAGGATTATCGTCCGAACGACGAACGACTCTGTTGAAGCTAAAGTGGATCGCAGCGTCGGGCATTCGCGTTCAATGAAAACGGGCGAGACTCAATGGGGAGCGCAAGAGACGGAAGGTGCAAGGAATTCCGTGTGAAAGGAAGACAATGCAATGTAAATACAAGGGATGGACGAGGACGGCCGTATAGACGGGCTAGAGAGTGATTGAGGAGAATCGAAGAGGCGGTTAAGCACGCGCGTGGATGCTGCTGGCTAAAGGAAGGCAAAGAAATACGCGAGAATACGCGGTACGTACGACGGGGAATATAAATAGCGTAGTTAAAAGTTAGAACACGAGATGCCCCCTGCGGTGGCTGAACTTGTACATTGAACCGCGTTGGTAAATTCGCGGTCGTGTAAGGGGGGTTGCAGTTAAAGCGTGCATAAATTGCAATGTTAATGTTACCGGCGATACATAAACATGCTGTACGCTGGTCGGATTGCGGTCTCTCCGCTAGGCCGGCTCTGCTGCACCCTTCTCGGCCTATGTTCGTTCGCGGGCTATAATACGCTATAGGTAGGTATGGATATTCATATGGGTCAATATGTGTACGTTTAGGACACCGCACGCGCGACCCGCGTAGTATGCTATTGTCGTTTCGACGTAGAGAGACGGTCGAAAGGACCGTGCGAATTTTATGCGAATTCGTGCCACCGAAATTTCTGCACTGGGGAGAAACGACGGATGGGGGTGAAACCAGGTGGTGGCACACATTGACAACTACTGCTCCGTTTTCGAGCGATCCGCCTATGTAAACGTGGCCGCGAGCTGATCCCTGGCTCATCCACTGGTGGGCAACGTAACGCACCGCCACCAACATCAATATTACGCGTGTACCACCAGTCCATACCGTTGCGCACCTATGTACGTCTGTTCAGCGTCGAACGAACGGCCCGGTAACGTTACGAAGCCCTCTGGTATCCACGTTATGGCATTCTCACCCTCTACCTCCACAATCGTGCTGACTCTATTAGGCGGCCGAAACGTACATATTATCGTTTCGTTCTGCCGTGTATTAACATAACAACGCGACAATTAGGGGATTCTCACGTGCCTTTTTCGGTACTTTTTCTCTTTCCGGGATTGACGTTTTCATTGGTTGACCTGTCTGCCGGGTTGGGTCTTTCTGTAAAATTGATTTTGCGTCGAAGATACGTCAGTGAGCAGAACCTGTTATCAGGACGAGCTGATCCGGACTGGCGACGTCTCGGTGTATTTTCATGAAAGCGACACTACTAGGTCGTACGTTATGATATCAAGGGGGGATGAGAGGTTATGAAGACAAACGTAAGGTCGCAATATAATCTTGAGCTCGTACGCGTCCTAAAGGGGGTGAAGAGAACCCACACTCCGATTCCCCTTCGCCTTCGTTCAGGTTCCAAGTTGCACGCAACTTGAGACGCTGATTGCGTCGGCTGGCAGGAATCGGAAAGAGGGAGTTTTGAAAGGGGCCCGTAAAAGTAGTACTTCCGTTACGCCAGCCGTCACGGCGCCAAGGGGTGGATGCAGCGCGCGCGCACGTTAAACCACCTTCCACATCCACCTTGGCGTCCGCCTTCCGTTTATTTTCCTTTAAAGACAGAAAAATAGTTCTCGCCCCCCCCGTCTTAAAAGAGAAAAGGCAAATAAGAGGAAGTCAGGAGAGCCACATTCCCGTCTGGTAAGCACCGTGGGTTTACTGTCTACGAAGAAGCTCAGAGTTACGTATTCTTATCCTGGTAAAATTCTCCTATCCCCGATATACCTTGAAATTTGGGAATTCGTTGAAAAATTGAAGTTAAAAAATAATTAACGTTTCGGGGATCAGTTAAAAAAAAAAGAAAGAAATATCTTCCAAAACGTACTCGATATTTAAGTAAGTCGTGATTTATGCTTTAATATAACGGTGTAATAAGGTACGGGGCGCATAATATGTTTTTTCGCAAAGGACCCAAGAGTAATTAATTTACATTCACGCCCATGAACAAGAAAAGTGGTGGCGGTAGTAGTCAAGGGAGAGGACTCACTCACTCTCTCTCTCTCTCTGTACTCCGTCCCTCTCTTTCTCCTTGGATGAGACTTCTGGCTGGGGTCGAGGTCGAGGGAGGATAGAAGGTACACGGCAGAGGGATGAAAATGAGGGAAGGAAGGAGAGCTGTGAATAGAAAGAGCAAGAGAAGGGCAACCGTGGCCACGTCGTAGTCCCTGCACGCAGTCATTAATAATAATCACGGAATAACAAAGAAGGGCGGGGCCAAATTAAATTTACCGAGTAGAAAATCTTGTGATGGGGATTTATATCGCGGTCCGTATACTGATTTCCCTCTACTCTCGTTTATCCAACCAGCTACTCCGATCTTCAATCCAATTCAGCTTCGGTCCAATTTTCATTCCGAAATTCGCCAGACGTTATTCAAACCTTCTACGAGAAGATTAGGTCCGATGCCCACCGGGGTTATCGAATAATTCAAGCAGCTACGAACCTTACACGTGTGCCGGTCGGCGTGGAAAATAAGGGGAGAGGACCAAACGAAAAAAAAAGGTAGTTATCAATTTGACAGGTAGAGACCAAAAGCAGGGCGATGGTCTAAGGGCGATAAGAAGGGGCATTCAATTTTACTCTCTCGCGTGGAAGACGGGCGCACACACCCTTCCGTTCGGGGCTGTCACTCCCGAGAGTTATGGACGCTGAATGAGTGGCTGGGGCGGGCAAATGTCGCATAAGTTACATCTCTTACTCGCTTCTTTCCAGGATGTCTATAAATACGAGATCGAACCTGCCAGCCCTGGCTCGGCTTCAGCTTGGACCGAGTTGGCTCGGTCTCCTCTACTCTAGCCAGTCCCTGCTCTTGAGCCTTACGTTTTGCCGACCCCTCGTACAACTTTTCTCCTAGAAAACTCCCCAAGGAACGTACGCTTAACGAAGTTCTATAGGGTAGCTTCATATTTTACCAAAATCCTACGATCCTCTCCACGTGCCAGAAACGAACTTGGAGCAACGGCTAAATACTCGTACGGTCCACAATCTCGATACGTGGGAACATCGGGTTACTCCTTTACGCTGTATACTAATTTATTGGACTCCATAAGAAGTTATAGTGGGAAAAAGACAAATCCAAAGAGAAACAAGGAAACTCGAGGCGATAATAGCTTGTCGATCCTATACCAGGAAGATACGAGAGTCCGGCCGCAGACACGATACGTTTGTTTACGCCGCATAATACTCGGGGAATGATTTACATGGCATGCGATATACAGTGGAACAGCGGAAAGAAAAGCCGCGTGGTCTTAACGACCGCAACGTATAACCAGAAATAAAATACTGAGCGAGAGAGCATTGGTGAAGGTGGCGAAGTAGTGTTGGGAGCTGGCCCGGTGACGCAATGAAAGATGAGAAAAGCAAGAGCAGTAGGTACGTATAGCATCCGATGCTGTAACGCTACTGGGAAACGCGTATAACAATCGGTCCTGTGGCGGCTCGTAGATACGTCGAGTAACTTTTAATGGCGAATTCGACGAAAGTTGCCCTCGAAAAATGCTGGAAATCGTTCGCCGCGTTCTTCGCTTTTGCCATTGGAGCCGCGGCGGATATAAATCCCTAGAATTATTTCCTATGGCAATTTCACCGCAACTAACGTAGCTGCATTATTGTGGAATGCGCGTTACCTTAGCTCCATGGAACTGTCTATGTACGTTACGTACCTATTCCATGTGTAGGTATACCTGTGGTACGATATGGACGTATAGAGATACCGATATACCCGTGACTTAGAAATGACTTGGCGCGAATTTCAAATTTACAAATTTTTGTATGTTTTTTTGTCTTTCAGCACAATGCATCGCGCCGCTAGGCATGGAGTCCGGAGCAATCCCGGATTTGGATATTACAGCCAGTTCGAGCTTCGATAGCGGAAATGTTGGTCCGCATCATGGAAGGTGAGTCCCATGTATAAATGATACTATGTGGTATATATGGTGTAAAGATTGAACAAGTTCACCAAGAAAGTAACTGTATATGCGTACGTCATATCGTGCAGGTACTTATACAGGTTATGCAGGGTATGTTCACTTGCGAGGAAGATATGATAAAGAAAAGAAACAGACTGGATCCTCTGTCCTGAGAGTTTCGTCTGAGTGGGATTTACGATAGGGCGAAAAGCGCGTCGTGAGCGATTGTCCTCGCATCGTTAAGGGCTGGACGAATGGGGAAAGAAAAAATATAGGGATTGTTGGTTCTCGGAGCGTGACTTTTTACGAGGACGTAATAATTGTCTTGATCTGAATTATTTATACGGCCCGCGGGAACGACCCGGCAGTGAGTGCACGCGTGCCTACACAGTCCTTTGGCTTTATACGTATACGTGTATAGTACGGGTATATAGAGATGCTGCATAAAGGAAGCGAGACATATAAAAAGGGACACCCGGTATAAATCACCATTGCGAGACTATAGCTCTAATTCGATCTTTAACAGGCAATGAGAATTAATGACGTCGGTGTCCCGCATATGAGAAACACTGGACTCGGCTGGACCATTCTTATCGGTCACTCTGGGCCTCTTAAAGGTTATTAAGGCTTCTAGAGGCTCTCCTTTAATTACACTACGACTAATTATTCACTCGGGTCGGATGGGAACTTCAGTGAAACACTGATCGACCTTCCATTCGCTCTTTCTCTCTCTCCCTCTCTCGTCATCTCATCATCGTCTACCTTATCGTCTCTTTGGTCTGACTCTCCGCGCGCTAATTTCATTACTAGGTTGGTACCTACGCGAACTCGGACCTTCTCACCACTTTCAGAGTACTCGCTATTCCTCTCTGAATCTCTCAACCTACATATAACCCCTATTTCTCTCTCACTCTCTCTCACACCCTCCCTACAGAGATCGATGAGCGTGCTTTCGAGAGCTTTATAGAGCTCTAGGCGAATCAGGATCGATCCCTAGGAAGCTTTCACGTCGGAAAGCTTCCGAAGGTACAGCACGAGAGACGTTAAGACTCGAAGAAAAGCAAAAGGGACTGCGAGGGGGCGCGAAGGGGGGTTTTCCTTTCATACGAAAATCTCTTCCACCTGCAATGAAAACGATCAACGATCGTTGATCTTGCCAAAGCTTTTCAAGGTGGTACCTGCCTCGTAAGGAAGCAAGGTGCATCCTGGAAGCACCGATCCCAGACGTGCTTCTCTTCGTCTCGAGCTCAGTGAGCCAGACAGGCGGGCGGGCAGGCAGGCAGGCAGGCAGGCAGGCAAGTCCAAAAGGCGAGCGAACATAATCGCCCGCCGGAGATTTATCGGGGACAGCGTGTTTGGAATGTCTTTGATGCGGACTGTATCAAAGTGGCAGGCAGTTTGAGCTCTCTTAATGGGGTATGAGTTATGAGCTGCGGGCTCATGTAGATCCTCGCACTCCCTCTAAATACTGACGCACGTACCAAACACGGCACTTCGGTCCCGTCAAAGCACAGCTCATGTCGTCTCTCTCTTTTCGTACGGACTACATCACAGAGGGTAGCACGTGTTTTATTTAGCGCGTGTATGCATTTCTTCGATTTATTTTCTTCTCTTTTTTTTTCATATTTATTTTTAGCAACTAGCATTTTTTCACTGCTACTATAAGGTTCTTCACTTTCTCTCTCTTATGTCCCAGCAAGCGTCTCCTACGTATGTTATCCTTATTGCGTGCATTTTTCTAGCGTATAATTAACGCTTTGTAAACCCGCCCAAATTCCTTTGGGAATTAACGCGGGGGTGGTAGGGGGTGGGATTTTGCAGCCTCGACCATACCGAAGTAAATGTAGTACGAGGCCGTTTTCTCCTCGTGTCCGTATCTCTGGTTACGCACTTGCTATTTTTGCCAGAGAAATCGCATCCGCGCGCTCACGATACGGACGGGAAGTCTCGCGTTTCGCGAAACGATAACGCCGAGTCGAGGAATATGCCGGTAGGACGGGGCTGCTGATAAATCGATCTGGAACGGAAACCCTCCCTTGCGTCTCTTTCCTGTCAGTCGGATAAAGTGCATAAACACGTTGCTGACGTTGAGGGTGACGTAAGCTCGACTGGGACAGACGAGCGTTATACTGATACGCGTGTCATTATGTTAACGCGATAACCGATAAACGGCTAATCGGTAAAGAAGGACACTGTGATGCTTTGTGTATTATAGTGAAATATATAAATTTGACTTGTGTTTCAGAATGCGGCAGGAGAGTCACGGCGGCGCTTGGTGTCCAAAGCAACAGATCACAACGGAGCCTCGTGAATGGCTGGAGGTCGATCTTCATACAGTGCACATGATCACTGCCACCGGAACTCAGGGACGCTTCGGAAATGGTCAGGGCGTCGAATACGCGGAGGCTTACCTTCTGGAATATTGGCGACCTAAACTCGGCAAATGGGTCCGTTATAGGGACGTCCGTGGCGAGGAGGTGAGTTTTCATTAAAGCTGCACAATCGATAGCATACCCTATACCGTAAAGACCGGGCTACACCTCGCAACGAGAAAGGGTTTATTCATTGTCAATACAGTAAATCCATATTCACCCTACGAAACCATAGTGCAAAAGCCTGGAGTTTATATTTTACATGAAAAAAAAAAAAAAAGAAACGTATAATCCTATAAAACCTAGGGGAAAAAAAAGAAACGTTAAATCCTACCTGGTTCCTTAGGGGTTGAAATAGTACAGGAAGTTTGCAGCTTATTTGTATGGGAGGGCGGATCAATAAAATGAGGGAAGGTCGTCGCGTGCACGCGGGTCAGACGGTTTCACCTTACCTATATAAACGTTGGGTATGTCTGAATAGGTAAAGCTCGCAGAAAAGCAGCTCGCGGAAAGCTCCAAGAGGGGTAAGACCTTCGAGGATACTTCGTCTCGCGGCAGGTAGATAGAGGTAGTCGAGGGTGTATAGCTGGGTTGGTAGGTTGGTTGGACTAGCCAGACTCCTCCCGTATAATTAAACAAAGGAGTCCTCGTCTTATCCGGCTTAATCTCCGTTAACGAGTCGACTTGTCCAGCTTTCGGGGCTGGAAAGTGGAAGCTCCTGTCGCGGTGCTTTGCCACCGGTAGATGGTCGGTGCCTAGTTACGTTCGCCAAGCAGAAGTAATACTGTACATTAACATAACATGGGCGTTGGCCGCGAGCCGCACCTTCGCACCACCGGTGCCACAATTGGAATTTGTCCGGGACCCAAAGTGGTGAGAAATAAGGAACCTGCTCGGCATGTATAATTTAGAACCAATTATCCGTCGAGAGTCGAATCCCCTTTTACGAAGCCGTCGAGTGTTCACATGTCATCGTATGGGCGACAGGATGTGGGTGGGAAAGATAAATATTGAGATTTCATTTTTTTTTCCTTTTTCTAACATCAATATATCGCACGAACGGCGACGTAATACATTGACGTCCTACTGTTTCCTCTTCGTATATTGCGCATTAGCTCGTGTTCCTTTGTCCCTTTATTTTTACCCTTGCGAATCTTTTCGCGAAAAAAAGATCCATTTCCGTTGGAGCGACGGAGACGCAGGACTACACTGCGGTACAAACGAGATACGTGACACGCGAAACAATCGCGGCCGCACGAGACCCGATGGAATCAAAAGGAAGAATGTTTCCAAAGAGAATTCCCGCAGCATCCTGCTACCGGGATAAGATGTCCTTCGGTCAATCTATATCGTCCCACGAGGACCGCGTCTAATTATCGCTCGGGGCGTGGTGAAGTTAACGACGGACTGGAAGGGAAGAATCGAGAGACCCTTTATTTTCTGCCGTCAGACGACGTTAACTTCTGAAGGGTGGTATCAGCCCTTTCTCGAGTAAAGACACCGGCGCAGCCTCTCGAGTAGACCCTATCTTATTTCGTGATCCTAATGAGTAAGACGAACGAGATATATGTCCTACTGATCGAAGAAGGAAGTCTGAGAATATATTTCACAGGATTTTACGAAAATTAAAGAAAAAAATTTCAAACTTTGTAAATGCATCCCCCTTCCCTGTAAATTTTATTTCTACCGGGTGATCCAATAGACACGAATGTCCCTGGTGAACGTGAGATCACCTTGTCCCGGCAATAACGATTTGAAACGTTGCCAATAATTCCCGTTACGAATTGTGTTTCGTCCAGGTGATCCAGGGAAACACGAATACCTACCTGGAAGCAAAGCACGACCTGGAACCTCCAATCTGGGCCAGCAAAGTCCGTTTCCTGCCGTACAGCTATCATCGCCGTACAGTTTGCATGAGGGTGGAACTTTACGGCTGCCCGTGGAACGACGGCATAGTGTCCTATTCGATGCCTCAAGGGGATAAACGCGGCAACTGGGAGTTCTTCGACGCCACTTACGACGGCTACTGGGACGGAGAGCTTCGACGTGGTCTTGGACAGCTAACCGATGGACGGACGGGGCCGGATAACTTCAAAATGGGCTACTACGATTACGACAGAGGTCAAGGGTGGGTCGGCTGGAGAAACGATACTCGCTCGGGTCATCCCGTCGAGATCAAATTTGAATTTGATCGTGTCCGAGAGTTCTCGGCTGTTCACATATACTGTAACAATCAGTTCATGAAAGACGTGCAGGTAAGAAGTCAACGTCATACGTTTCTACTTATTAGCCACTTTTTCCTTTGCACGAGTCTCGCGATACTTTTCGCTCGGGCGCGACATCGGGTGGGTGAGAAAATACAGGAAGTCGCGGGTCCCGACTTTTACTCGACGTGGCGAGACTCGCTAGCCTAACAGGAAATTGGAGAGGCATCTCTTCTCGCGGAATAAGAAAGGAAGCGAAACTTGCGCAAAAAAGGGGAGTAAGAAAGCAATGTAAAAAAAGGATCCCTCGCGTCGCTCTTTAATCTGATATAAGAAGCGTGCGCACGTACATACGTGTATATATACATATATACGCCTACGTGACGCGACTCAGTTTACGGAAAAGTCAAGACGAACCTGCCCGGTGCTCGAGCAAAAAGCTGCTGTACTGACACAATGCCGATGACGTTTAGCCGCAGGGGTCGAAAGGGTAGACGCAAGAGACGGCACCAGCCTGGGCGAAAATTTTCCGCCTTGTATTCCACATTTTATAATGGTCCGCGAAACACGAGGTGGTATCAAGATTTATTTGAAAGAAGCGCCTCATTACGCAGCTCGGCAATTGTATGCCCGCGACCGAGTGAGCGCGAGCCAAGCTCGAATCTGGTAGCAACGGTGTCAGGTGGGTGGGCGGGAAGGGGGTTGAGGGGGGAGGCGGTTGAATCCGGGCGCCCAGGGGTAGACCTCCGGCAAAAGGGGAACGAGGGAAGAAGGGTAACTTCACAATGGCAGCAACCAACGCTAGTGGGTTCAAGCAGATATGCCACGTATTCAAATACAATACCGACAGTCTGGGCAAGTCGGGGTAGCAGCCAGTAGAGCCGTGACGATGCGAGCCCTTCTATTAACAAGGGGGATGAAGACGGTGGCTCCGGCAGGGCTGGTTGGGCGCAGGGGCCCTGAGTGAGGTAGGCCACCAGCTAAGACGAATAAGGGCGCGACTGCGCCCACTGCGCACGGATGGGACCAAGTCGCTCCTGAAAGGACAGCACTTCAAAGCGCAACCCCTCCGTCCCTTGGTAACGTCGAAAATCCATATGCCCTGCCGTCGTCTTTACTCTTCGCTCCCTTGGAGGCACCCACTGTGCACCCCCCCCTGCTCCCCCCCCCTAAGAGAGTTAGATAATCTTGGCTTTGTAATCTCTGTCGCGGTATCGTCCCTTCGGGCTTTATTCAAATCCCTATGACGCGACTTGCCGATCTTACCACTCACTCATCCTCCCTTCTCTCTCCATCCCTTTGACCCCCCCCCCCCTCCTAGCCCCTTTATTGCGAAAATCCTGTGACCTTTCACCTTTCTTAATGTGTCTCGATCTTCGCTGTGTTACAGGTCTTCTCAGAAGCAAACATCCTGTTCAGCGTCGGTGGCAAGCACTACACAGGCGATCCGATCGTCTATACCTACATGGAGGATCGTATTTTTGAGAGTTCGCGTAATATCACCATTAAGCTTCATCATCGTATAGGGAAGTTCGTCAAATTGAGATTCTCCTTTGCTGCACGGTGGATCATGATCAGCGAGATTACCTTCGACTCGGGTGAGTACTTTTTACTCTCTCGTATAAAGTTTCGATCCCGTACGTGATATTGATCGGTAGCTGCCGGAACTGTACGTTTACGCGCATCCACGTGCATTTGCCTCCATATGCGTCGGGGTTAACCGAAGTGTAATTATACGAATGAGAATACAGACTAGAGAGTCTAGAGTCCTTATTAGACGACCTCGTACGTGAGAATGGCTGTACTAAGTGCACTGCTTACGGGGCATTAACGTATTATAAAGATTTAAACGTCCTGGAATCAGCGTAGAATTTTGCTGTGTACAGCTATAATTACCATAACCGGAAGTAAAGGGTCGTTACAGACCAAGAAGATCAGTTTTGATCTAAATTCGAAATTACCACAATTTCGCGGCAGGCAACGAGACTCGAACGCGTTAACGATTACAGATATCGCACATGGCAACTTCACACCGGAAGTTCCACCATCGACGGAAGCGCCACGAGCGAGAGATCGAAATTCTGCACGGGACACGCCGCTTCAAGCGGAAGTACCAGTCTCCACAGCGAAGCAGGACGACCCGACGTACATGGCCGTGATTATCGGAGTCCTCACTGCTGTGATACTTCTGCTGGCAGTGGCGATCTTCCTAATAGTTTCGCGTCATAGACAACGAAAGAATTTCGCCAGTCCTCTGGGAGCCAAGAATTCCATCCCTTCGGGGAATCATCAGCACCTGTCGCCAGAGTCCGCCTACGGCACCACCGAGAAGGATCCCTCGCTGATGACGTACAGGGTCGAGGAACTCGACGACAGGTATGCCGGCGCGAAGCTCACGACTCTTCCGCGCGACCTCAACGATCGTCTCCTGGGTGACGTGAGGCTGGACGAGTACCAGGAACCCTTTCACGACAAGTACAGGGAGCCACCTCACGCTGCTTACTACGGATACAGTACGGTAGTCATAGACAACAAGGATCTCCACGATAACGTTGAACAGTCCGGTGAGTCACGATGATCCGTATAATTTAATTTTTAAATATAATAAAATTATTCCAAGCCACCCTGAACATCCTACGACACTGTCTCTTCGTAGATGCTACCTACGACTATGCAGTACCCATGCCAGTACCGAGTGTAAGCAGCGACCAGGACAGCGTCTTCTCGAAGTCCTCGTCCCGAGGTAGCGCAAAGGTAAGCAACATCACTGATCCACCCGAGCTCATAGACCCCTACAAAGTCAAAGGCTAAAGGATCGGACGAAAGGAATAAATAAAAGTGGCGTCAGGCAAGTGCGTTATGCACTTTCGGTCGAATCCTTTGTCCTTTTCTTTGATTCGTACGCGACGGAGTACTCGCGGGAAAGTGCAGACTGCCTCGTCCCTCTGCATTCGCCGCAAGCTTCATATATATACGTTTATTTACATATGATACGTGCAATCTCTCTGATACGCACGTGCGTGCATCAGGCTTGCTTACAGAGCTTTTTCCCACCGCCGCCACCACCAATGAGTGCCCCGCCACCAAGGGGCTCGAACAATATCACGTACTCAAGTCCACCGAGTCCGGAGCCCATCTGCGAGCGTGAACGCAGGGGCAGCAAACGCCGCGAACATTCGTTGCATAGATACGCATAAGGTATATCATCGTGAAGCTTCCTGGTGGAAGATTTCGCTTCGATTCGCTCGCTCACGCATCTTACGGTAATTGTCGCTGCGTACGAGCCGGAGCTATTCCTTCTTACTTCGTAAGTAAAACTCCTAGAATACGCTTACGCCTTACCCTTGGCATCGGTCGCAATGAAAATACGAAATTCTTCAGAGGGACAACTTGTACACGGTGCAAAGGGTCGTGCGTGATAGCACTCGTAGCTTACATATGTCGTGGAGAGTTTCATGCGCGCGTAACCGATCTTTTAACTCTTAACCAGTATACCGGGAAAAGTTAGAGTAATAGGTATACGTATAGTTAGAGGATAGGATCGATTATCTTTTTTCGAAAAGGCATACGAACACTTTCGGAAGTCATATAGGGCGTAAATTCGACTTTTCTTTAATATCTCCTGATACACATTAGGAGAATCCTAGGATAATACGGGATCCTCTTTACAGCACTTACGCGCTGCTTTCTCGTCCTCTATGCTTCCGGGGTGTTTCCTGGTAACGCGATGCGCCCCAGGTAGACGAAAAGAAAAGAAAAAAAAAAAAAGAAAAAAAACTGGAAACTGAAATCGGCATATCAGTTATACGATACAAGCGATTTCGGCGTTATCGCAAGCGCCGTGGATTCTTCTGGAAATTTGTTAGGGAAATATGTTTTAACGTGTACTCGTGACTCGGTTACTTTTATTAAAGAGAAATGTGTTTCCGTGGTATTATATTTTTTATTTTACACGAAAGAGAAAGAGAACGAGAGGCACGGATGTAGGTACAACTTTTAGAGCAATGAATCTGAGAAATCTCTGTGCTTTGTTATCCTTTTTATTTTTTATTTTTTTATTTCTTTCTCTCTTCCACGTGGCTTCACGAGCACACGTAAGCAAGCAAGCAAGCTGGTAAACAACAAACAAATGAGCGAGCAGCGAGACGCAAAGTAGCTGCTGTTGAAGAATGAGCGTCGGCACACACGAGCGAATTTCCAGAAAGAGTCGTATCATCGTTTCGGTGCGTTCAGTGCGCATGCGCAGGATCGATCTTTCGCTCCGAGTTTTAATGTAGCGGAGAGCACGAGGAGGGGTATTAAAAAGAAACGAAAGAAACGAAAGAAAGACAAGAGAACACACGTGAAATTAAATGAGAAGCGGTTTTGCGTGCGTCGATCGTCGTACAAGACTGACGTGTTATAAAATATTTGAATCTGCGCGGGCGATGTGCGCGCGCATGCGCAGATTCCTAAAATGTATTATTTATTGCGTATAGCGCCTCTAACGAATTCTTTTTTTATTTTATTTATATAATAATAACGAGGATTAAGCTACCTTTATTTCTCTATCTACCGACATCGCCTTCATGCAACGAGGAAATCGAAATCCAATGTAAGAATCGACAATACAGGGATGAAGACAACAATAATACTACTATCGTATGTACAGACCCGACCATATTGTGATATACGAATCGACAAGATTTTCACGTACCATGTATTTAATCTCTATTGAAGAAAAAAAAAAAGAAAATGAAAGAAACGTTAAAAATGGGTAAAATAAACATACTAAGAAGCTTTATTACGGTGAAATACGTCACCTCTACAACGACTGGATCTTGCTGTTCGTTTTAGTCTTAAACACTTAATCGGTATCGTCGCCACGTAGGATAAAGTGACAGCTTTCAAGTGCTTCGTGTAAATAATCATTAGGTACTTCGTTTCGTAACGGAGATAACATTTACGGATGGAGAGATAGAGAGAGAGGTGGAGAAGGAGGGGGGGGAGAGGGGGAGGGGAATAAAGAGAGAGTGCAACGCGACGATCGTCGCGACAAAATAATTTCATTGCAATAACTTCATTTTAACGGAGTATACTCGATAACAGTAATAATTGTCAATTTATCCTATGCACACCAAGCGATAACGTTTAACGAGTAATAAAGTTTATAGCCGCGAGAACGTCGTTAAGGCTAATACAGAAACGTTAGGCCAAACGGCCGATTCGTACTTTGATTCTCTATGCTCCACCTACTCGTATGTACTCGGTGATATTTCTCGTGGGATCGAATGGAGGTAACACGTAGAAAGAAGATTTAAGTAAAAAAAAGAAAAGAGGACAGATACGTAGACATACAATTTTCTTTATATCATAAGAGAGTACGAAGTCCCGCAGCGAATTAGAGAATGAGTATATATATATATATATATGTCGCGAATTTGAATCGCGAGCTTTATGACGTCACGACGGACTCTCGCTTAAGGTATTAAATATATATATATATATATATATATATATATATATATATACGTATTATTTTTCAATGTACATAGTAATGTAATTTATGTAACGTTCAATACGCCCAAGAAAAAAACAAACTCTGTAAATAATTGTATTATAACGAGTAATACTGAGTGTAATTATATTGACTACCGAATGCGTATTTGATATTTGTGTGCCTGTATCCTTTTGTATGCTATCGAAATAGAATATATATATATAGAAGACTACGAGTATCGGTACTGTACACATGAAATTTGTCCCCTGTGACAAAATAAACTTTTAGTGAATCGAATTTCAGCAATTTCATTAAATTTCCTGTTTTTTCTTTATACTTCTTGTTTCATTAGAAATTCCTGTATCCATCCTCCACCGTCTTACGTATCCGCCGTTTCGTTCGGTCACGTCGATTCTTACGTGCCATTACCGCACGTTAAACTCCCGGAAACTACCAAGCGCTCCCGTCCAAGCAAACGTACGATTATCAAAGCAATTGCCATATCTTCCAAGCCATTCAGGATAAGCCAAACGGGACTGGCGAAGTTCCGGGAAATGAAATGGGATCCATTGGAAATTCCTATAGGTACGGCCAGCATGGAGAAAGCAGAGCCTGAGTGCAGCTGCTAATGTGGCTCCGTGGTTCCGGGATCGCGTCATTATTTCACATCCATCACTCAAGACCAAATGCCAGGAGAATAGGCGTATATTCGCACCCTCTGTGAAATCCTGCTGCATCACATCGAAAATTACCGCCTCTCACCCAGCGCTAAGTTCGCGTCGACGCAGACTCAATGCCCGTCGAGAGGCACCAGGTTACGCTTGGTTCCGCTCGGTTCCGGTCCCGGGTTATCGCCCACCCTAAAACACCTCCTACACTGAGTTCGACTTGCCGACCCGGGAGACTCTCCGTAAAGCGTCGAGGCGTTACGCCGAAACTTTTCAAACCGGATATGGAAGGGGCGCCCCAGCATCCTCGGTACCGAAGGAGAGATCCTTTCTCTTGAATTTCAAGGAAATTTTCGAGACTCTATACTCGTCCTCTCTGGATCCGTATATTGAGACTCTTCTGGGCGCCACTTAAGAGCCGCCCCCCCCCCCTCCACCCCAGACCCTGTCACCGAACTGAAGATCGTGGAACGTCAAACGCGTGTCCTCGAAGACAAATCTTCTGACTGCGGGTCGTGCCGGGTTCACGTTGCTGCTCTCAGCGGGTCGTTAGAGTCAGGTTCGCCTTCCCAGCATTTCTTGCTGTTTTATTTTTAACGTCGCCGTCCCTCTCTAATTGCCTCAGGAAGTCACTACTCAACGAATACATAACTGCTATTTTGATATTCCGCGCCCGCGACGTTTAGTCTACCTACCGAGCTAGTTTCTCGCTACGAAATTATTCACGGATCGAGTCAGACGTGTCGATGTAACAGATATATTATTATCGGTCGTTCGCGTCCGTAATCGTATTTCTGATAAGATACGGAACTCTGCTAGAACTCTGTAAAATACATGGGCTATACCAATTGGATTGACCACTTTGAGTTCACTGGGACGAATGGCCGCTCGAGTGAGTACAAATGACGCGCTACGAATCGCCCGCTTAATTATTCGGCAGTCAGCGCCTATCCTTTTAATCGCACAATTGGGATTGCGAATGAACGAGTGCGTGTGTTTTATTATACCGGATGGGGGCTTCGAGTGCCATTCAAATGCGCAACCGTACACCCGTGGCTTTGATTCACTTGGTCATACACACCATTAGTGTTTGCTGCTGGGTCGAACGAACGGCTGACTTTTGGTTGGTCAGATGAGATCATTTACAATGACCGAGGATGATTAGTCGTCGTCTAGACTTCATCGGTAATCAAGTCGGTAATTCCTGCCGCCATCTTTCATCCTCTCGACCCCCATCCCTCCCCCCGCCACTCCTACTCGTGTCGCGTTTATTTTTGCGCTGTAATTGTTTCCGGTGAGAGCGCGATTTTCTACTCGGTTCTTTTCACTCTTCTCTTCCAGACTCTTTAAATATATCTACCGAGCAATGAGCCTGGGTAACCCTCATCTTCCTCCTCCATCTCCTCGTTCTTCTATACGATGCAGTTTCACCTAGCTCTACCCCCACTGTCTCCGTACAGAGCAAAGCGCAACAATACAGTTTCCAGGGATACGTCCAATTGTTTTCTCTCGTTGAAAGGGACCCGTGTTTCGTGGCGGAAACTTTGATCTTGGTTTGGCCTCCTTCATCGGACGGATGTCCCTCCTCTGCGGACACGTAACGGGAAATCGCGTAGACGACCGGGCAAACTCAGCATCCGGTCTTTACTCGCGAAACGCAAAACAATGCGGAGTGAGGACGTGCTCGCTTATTGAATAATTAAAAGAGAAGAGCCAAGAATGGCGCTGATCGAGCCTTCGGCATTCATTCGGAATATTCGATTAGCCAGTGGAAAATCTTGTCCCGGCCCTGAGGTCGTTCTGGGCTATGACGTTGCTTCCTCTTCTGGAAGGCTACGTCTGGTTCCACGTAGTCTGAAAAATATTCTTCAAGGTCCTCGGAGGTCAAAGGTAAGTAGGCAATGTCCGGATGTAAAATTACTCTTAGGTACGAGACCATAACGTTTCACGGATCAATGAATTTTATATTGAAAAGACGAGTAAACCGTGAGAATATCTACACCAGCCATTGACGACCTCAGCATCCGAATGGTTCTCACCGGCACCCGTCGGCTACGATTGGTCTCGGTTCGTTCGCGTTGAAAACTTTATATCCTTACATTACACGGCAACCGTCACATCCGTATTACATCGTATCGAGCTACTTTCTCGGCTTTACCTATTTCCAACTTTACAGCGCTGGTACTGAAACTGTAGCTTTTCTGGCTTATACAGCAGATATATCTACCACGACCACGTTTCAGGCTCCTAGTCGAGCAGTCAAGTGCAAATATTTTCTGGGTCAGTTAGCAGCGACCCAGTTCGCGAGAACCGATCGATCTATCGTTATCAGATACTCGCACTCAACCACGTTGGCGAAAGGTCTTTTTCCAGGAGAAGATTAACGCTGATATTCACGATTCCCTATAGACTGCAAAGAGAAAAGCGAATTCTTGAAAACGTTCAGATAAACTTATATCCTCTACCTATAGTACCATATACACAGTATATCTGTATAGTATACTCGTACAGTATAGAAAAGGTGTATTCCGAAAAACATCTATCGGCTCTTTTCCTCGGATCAATCGCTGCAAATTACATTCGAAAGTTATATCCATCAGCGAGTCATCGATCGAACGTATTATCAGTCTGTATTAACTGTTGGCTGTTCAAGTCAGAATTGATCATTTTATCTTACTCGTTAAATAACTTGTACTTACTCCCTGTGCAACCTACATAAAAAACTTTAACTCGAACATCCACCTTACCAAGCGCATACGTTACCAGTAGAGACTGAGTCCAGAGCAAAATAGTCCATTAGTATTACAGTCCCCTCTCACCTGTACACTGCGGGTATAGCGAATGCCGATCACGTTTTCACGAACTCCGAGACAACAGTGTGTCGCGACGAAATTAATTCGTCCTTTACAAACACACGAATATTCAATTCCGAAAATTGCCCAAGGCCAGCAGCGTAAACTACCTTCCGCTACGGTAACCGAGAGCAAACGTTTACGTTTTATAGAAAATTACCAAAGCACATACCGGGTGCTCTCGGTATAAGGTATACCACGGTAAGACGTGGGTATACCTGGGCATATATACCTCTGTACGAAAATTTATGTAAAATATTATTCGACAACAGAAAGAGAAGCAGACGAGCCAAAGGTGCGTCTACCTATTCACAGTAGGCGTGCACATTTTCACGGGACTGTTAGGTAAATATTGAAATATTACCTCGAGAGAGAGAGAGGCGACGGGTGGTAGCACCTCGGGTACCGCCAGACGCCAGGCGTCGGCGGCTCCCGTGTTCTCTGGACCTACGGGGGTAGGTACAGACGTGAACTCACACATTTTCCAGGGGTGAGTCGAGAGGGCAGCGAGTACCGATGGGAGCCAAGACGCAGGGGCTAACTTTTCTCTGAACAAGCATTCGGTCGCCCCCCGCGGCGACACCACGCATAATCTAATTTGTACTTCCCCAACTAAGCTCAGTCCCTTCCCGACCGACAACTAACAAACACGCCTGGATCCAAAACCTCTTGTCCTTTATTTTTCTACTTCTATCTTTCCTTCTAGGTCCCCTCGGAGGACCCATATATACTTTCCACCAACACCCTCCGAGTAACGTACCCCCAGCACGACGTACGAACAAATTGGCTCTGTTTGACAAAATGAAAGCGTTTGCCCACTTGCAGGATATACAAGAGAGTTCTTGTCAAGTTACGGCCAACATACTTAGGTATGTACACCCCATAATCTATATACATATATACTTTGTCCATGAAGGAGGGGATGAAGAAGAAACCACAAGAATGAAGAACAGCAGGGTACAGGGAGATATATATATGTATATAAGTATGTACGATATAGATATACAGACACGTGTATACCTCAAGACGACGCCTGTAGAGGATAATCGTGATGCAGCTTTTTACGGTACGTCGCGACGCATTCTCTTACATTTGCACGTATGCTCCCGAACTCCGTAGCATTTACGTGAAGTCGTAAGTCCCAAGTTCTACCAGACCGCCGTACCCCTACGACTTCCTCGTTCTCGGAAGCTGTTGCCGGGCCAATTGCGCAAAACTTCATATCGAGTAAGGGAGGTGGAGGGGATGAAATAGAGAAATAATAAAAATTATACGAGTACAGCAAACTATACCTATTATTCGATAGAGTCCGGCGCACCTAGTTTTCTCAACTTTCAACCCCTCCTGTCCTGCCGATTTACGATCTCAAGTTCGTTCCATTTTCACGTGGGAAGGGCGTCGAGTGAAAAACTTTTTGGAAAAGTTTGGCTGTTTACGAGAAGAAACGGAAGATTTGTCACCGTGATTATCGTATCTGCTCTCTGTCAATAGAACAGACAGCACGGACGGTATGGACAGTACAGTCAGATGTGAAATTATTTTCACGAACATAGTATAGATTAAAATTCAATGCTTGGCCTAGCTATACCGTATGACTGTACAGTACGCCTAAGGAATATCTAGCCAGAGAGTTCCCTCTAGTGAATTCCGTGAAATTTATAAGCCAGAGTAATAGAGGTAAAGCTTAGCGGAGTGTTCTCGGTCGCGTAAGCTTTAACGAGGACGTCAAGTAATTAACGTCGTGTTAGCAGTATCTCTTGAGCGACTCGTGGACGAG